CCTCCCTGCATGGGCAGGGGCACCTCCCACCAGCCCAGGCTGCACAAGCCTCATCCAGCCTGCCCTTCAACACCTCCAGGGATGGGGCAGCCTCCCTCTCTGGTGAAAAGCCCCTTCAGGCACTGGAAGCTGCTCTCAGGTCTCCCTGGAGCCTTCTCTTCTCCAGGCTGAACCCCCCAACTCTCCCAGCCTGTCTCCAGAGCAGAGCTGCTCCAGCTCTTGGATCATCTTCAGGGCCCTTCTTGGGACACTCTGCAACAGCTCCTCCAATTACCTTCACTCCTGCTCTGACACAACTCTAGGTATTTCCTACAGCTCAGGCCACGTTCTAGCCTGGGTCTGATTTCTCGCAATCTCTGCTGAGGATGAAGTTTCTCAATTTCCATTTGCTGGAGCAGAAGTCAGAGCCCAGGTCCCTTCCACTCCCATGAGGGCATTAATCAGCCAGCTACAGTTACTTATTTACATAAACCTGAAGCACTGCAACAAACAAATCAACAAGAATAACCTGCAGCCACATGTTTAAGACACCTCCTTAAAGCCAGAAAGCATGTCCACAGAACTGATTTACAGACCTTTGCATCAAGATGCCCTGACATCCCAGCACACTGACCTGACATGCAGGACATACTGCAGGACCAGCTCTCCAGGAGCAGTGTTTTTTGGTGTGAAGCATCAAAGATTTAAGTTTCTCATTCTTCCAGGCCTAAATGATTTGCTGAGTTCAACAGACTTCATTAGCAGTCTGCAGGCAGCTGAACCTCAATTTGTGAAGGAGTTAAAGGGCAAAGGATTTACACCACTGACATTGGAAGAGAACACAACTGACAGCTTGGCAGTGTAAGCTGGCTCAGTTTGTTCAAGTAAGGTTCTTTCTGTCAGACCTTTTTTTATGTCATTAGCTTTTCTGGTAAGATTAAACCTAACCATCTCTACTTTTGTTCCTTGGTATTCTCATTAGCTTCTACCCCTGCTGGCAGTTCAAGGAGATCCATCTCTCCCAGAACTAAATACTTCCTTTGGACAGGTTACAAAGACAGCCATGCTGAGCTACCCAGAGTTTTATTCTCACCTCACTGCCTTTATAAAGGCAAGTGGCTGTGAGTTCATCAGAGATTCTGGAAGTCAGAAGATACTGCAATGTGGTATGAGCAACTGTAAGAGGAAATAAGGACACATGCAGGTGGGTGGTTTTAAAATTCTGCACTTCCTCCCAAAAGGTTTAATAGTATTATCTTAAGTAACCCTACAAGCCATGAAAGACTGAAATACAGAACAACCAAATAATACAACGACCCTCCTACCAAACTTTAACATTATACAGTTATATTCCTGCCTTTCTCAATGCAGAAGGGTCATTCCAGGTGAGCAGTTGGCTTCTGAAGCTGGCAGGGCTCAGGGCAAAACTACATGCGACAAAATCAAGTGTTAACACTAAACTTACATTTTTCTATGTATTTTAATTTAAAGATTTGAGGTGCCCATCAATCTGTAACATCTGCTCTGGTAAGCAACTGTGTTTACTATTTCCTTTGACTAGAGATTTCACTGAAACATTTAACATACAAACAGCAGGGCCCCAAACATCCCCCACAGAGACAAGCTGAAGAGCCCTTCATATTTCCCCCACTATTTGTCTGTTGAACAAACTTTAAGTTCCTGAAGTTTTTCACTTAGATAGGTGGTATCTGCCTCTGTCAGGTTTTCTGAGTCGGACAGATTTTCAAGGAACCTGGTTCCTGCACAGGGCTTCCCTGTTATGGGATCTATGACATTTCCAACCTTGAAAACAATTTCAGCCAGTTCGTGTTTGACGTGTTTGCTCCTCCTCTCAGGCAAGGCCTTCAGCAGCACGATGTCTCCAACCACACACTGCTGCAGGGGGTCGTGGGCAAAGTAGGTTTTCCGTTTGTTGAAGAACTGCAGGAGGCAAAATGGAAACCTTGGAATGAGGTGGCAAATGTATAGTTAATATAGACCTAACTACATTTCACTAGTAAGTCTTGAATCTTTTAAGATGAGATTCAGTTTGCACCATGGAGAGAAGGAGCTGTGCACTCTGCTGAATGGCTTCCCTCTGCAGGCCACACTTCAGCCACTGACCTGAATTCTTATTCATCCTAAGACACCTGCAGTTCAGCATCTCTGAAATCAGCATTTTGAAGTTTGTCATTTCAGAGTTTTCTGGCTCAACCTTTTTTTTCATACAAAAATTCAAACTTAACTCCTATTGGAATGACAGAATTCAGAATCTTTCTTTTAAAAAAGAAGCAAAGAGGTTCTTCTACTGGATAACATAATAGACTGAGATCCACAAGGACCATCATCTGATCCTGACTTTTATCCTTAACCTTCTGGTCACCAAAGGCAAGTTACTCCACATACATGTACCACAGTTCCCCTGCCTAAAAATGGACAAAATACTTATTTTAACCTCCCTATTTGAAACCCATTGACCAGAAGGGCTAAATACAAATACATCTCAGCACAGAGATGCACAATTATGCATACAGAAAAAACTGCTACAAAATGTGCTGTCAAAGTGGGCAATATAATGTCAACTTTCCACAACACAGAACACTCCAAATCAATAAGGAAAATTAAATCTAATGAAACAACAAAGAAACTTACCTGCTCAATAGAGACCAAATTAAGTGCATTGACCACTTCAAAGAAATACATTCTTTTCCTCCTTTGCAGTCACCCCCCCCCAGCCCAACCAGTATGCCAGCTCCTCAAGGAGTTTGCATTGCAAGGAGCCATCAGGAAGAGTCAAACCAATAAAACATTCCACACAGCACAAGAATTACCATGCAAGACAAGCTGTGACCCAGCTTTTACCTTCAGCAAGTAAGGATCCAGCACCAGCCTTGTCACTCTCACTTTAGCAGTTTTCTGCATCTTGGTTCCTATGACTTTCCCCACTATCCATTTTGCATGGACAGCTCCACGTGGTACAGACATTGTTTAGCTCTGGTCATCCAGTGCCTGGCAACAACCAGACAGGTTATTTTAACCAAAAAAAGACAACCCACCCACACAACAACATCACCAGTTTCTGATCAATGCTAAAATAATAATTTCCATTTCAGACCAACAACTTAATTAGGTCATTGTGTTGGAAGAACAGTGTGGATGGAAGCAGCTCCAGACTCCAGACACTGCACAACACAAGAAGGCCCATGACCACATCCTCCTTACCAGGGAAAGTGACTTCAGGGTGGCAACAGAAACACATGACAGTGGGAAGGTGAGACCTAATCCCACAGAGTCCACAAAATTCCTTTGAATCGTGCCAGTTGTCACATACAGAAGAACGTGCAGGTTTGGAAATTATTATGAATTTGACTTATATGCCAGCTGGTTTGGATGGCAGAGCTCATCAGGTGTGTGTGTGTGACCAGAGTTAACCCAAACAGGGAACAGCCAATAACTTCTGGTCAGAAAGTAATTTGGTTTTGTACATCTGATTATTCTCTGAGCTGATGAAGTCTAAGAAAGGTAATAAGCTCCTCAAAGCATAAATAGCATATCAGAGGTGTCTGACCTACAGTAAATACAACCACTTTTGAATTAGCTCTTTCCTGTAAGTCATTTTACTCCACTATCCCACTTGTTTAGCTTAATCAGGGAGGGCTTTCTAGACCCCCTTGCAAGAACCACAGGCCAAACAGAAAGCAAAACATTACAAGACTTGAACCAGTATTAAAACAAAGACTAATGACCCTTTTCTCTCCCACCCCATACAGGACAATTAACACCTGCTGATTCACCCACCTACCCATTTTATAACACTCAGTCATGCCTGCTTATATGTTGTAACACATCAAAATAAGCGTTCAGGGATGCAAAGACACATCCATAGGGTGAAACACGTCAAGCAGCGAGGGCCGGGGCTGCTTTTTCCATCCTTGACTCAGCTGTGCGAGCCGCGGGGCAGAGCGGGGCCAGCGGGACCGGCCGGGCCGCCCTGCAGAGCGGGGCCAACCGAACCGCCCCCGCGGGGCCCGGGAGGGGCACAACAACCGACACCCGCAGGGCTCAGGGG